TTACGCATTCGCGTGCGTGCGTACATTCGTGTATCGCGTCGCGCTGCAGCTCCGGCGGCCTTGAGAGGAGTTCTTTGTGCAGTTTAGCGTTCACTGTGGATCGCGCGCGTACTCTCGCTTGCACACACGCGCGCGCGAGTACACCCACACAGTCGAAACTGGCTTAGGCCGTTACATATACTGTAACAAGTTGCGTTGCACTTATGTACAAAGGGCGCTCCATGTGACTCACATGCTCGCATATGCTACCGGCAGTCTCCGTCTCTGTCTATCTCTCCTCTCTTTCGCTCTCTCTCTCTCTTTCTGTCGTTCTCGTTGACTGACGTTCCTCCTCTTCCTCTCCGTCGTTCTTCCGTCCTCTTCTCTCACTCCGTGCTATTCTATTTATCTTCTTCTTTCTCTCGCACGTTCGTTCGTATATACACACACACACACACACACACACACACACACACACACACATGACACACACACGTTTCTTTCCGTCCTCTGTGTTCTTCTCTTTGTCGGTCAACGTCTCTATCCTTCTCCTCTGTTCGAACGCACATAGCTCGATCCAAATATACATATGTGTATACATATACACACGGCCAAGTGCACACACGAGACCACGAAGAGCGGTGCATGCGGGTGTTGGCCACGTGCGCGCTGCACTTTTTGCTCGGAGCGAAAGCCTTCGGCCTTTTGTACGTCGCGAGCGCGAGCCGCCGGAACTTTATGCCCTTTTCAGCGATTTGCCGCGTCGAGCTTTCGGTGAACGCGTCGCGCCGCTGCAACAAAGGTGATGTACGAAAAATGCCACGACCGGGGTACGGTGTAGTCGCTCTTCTCGACGAACGGGGCGGGGGGGCGTCTTTGATAAAGCCTGTTATACGATACGTCGTATGTGCGCGGGCATTCGTTTGCGAAAAATAAATTCTCTCACCGAAGCATCGGCTGCGCTCCGACATGCGACTTATTGTAGTACTTAACGAACGACACCGCTAAGCAGAAATACGCACGCGACGAAGAATCGAAATCGCTCTTCCGAAAGAGAGAAAGAAAGAGAGAGAGAAAACGTTATTTATTTGGCGCTCTGGGGAAAGGAATTCCCCTCAGGCACAAATTAGATTGATACATAAGAACTAGTAATTTAGAAACAAAAAAAATAGTAAAGTAGTATAAACACTTATAGAGTAAAAATTAGAGAATTAAGTCATAATACTGTTTCAGAAAATTCAACGAAGTAGTATAGATTCTTATATGGTAAATTCAATAAATGACTAATTTAGTTAAGAAGCGTGACGATAACCATACGTGCGACACAAAAAGATAGCCGAGAGAGATAAAACCCACGAGAGGCAGCAAGCAGGAAAGTAGGAAAGGAAAGGTTTTTAATGACTATGAATGTACACTGAGAAATCCGTTTAGTTGAATTTAATTTAATTCTTGTTTGGACAAGGACAAACGAGTGTTTTGGTTATAAGAACCAAGATTTGGTTCTGTGAAACGAAAATGAGAAAAAGTTTTGGTTCGGAGAACCAAACCTTGGTTCTCATAACCGAAACATTTGTTTGCCCGTATTCAAGCAAGAATTTAACTTAATTGTACTAAATGGATTTGTCAGTGTATTAGAAATCATTTTTCTTCAAGAGAAAGAGAGAGAGAGGGAGGGAGACTTTTTTTTTTCACATTCACACGAAATTCTGAGACACCACTCGCGATTTATCGGCCCGCCCTCTGGATCGACCGATCCTTCTCGCAATTTCCACCTTACGAAATGCACACCTGCACGCTGGATTTATAACTTCTGGCGTTCGACGCTAACGAAGTCGATTAGAAGACCGGCGCCGGGGAAGACCCGAAGCGGAGAGCTAATCTCTGCCGGGGAAGAGACAGGCGCGCCGAGACGTAAATCCCTCGGCGCGCGCGACTCCGGAATAATAAATATCGAGTCCGATTATTATAAATCTCTCCAAAGGTTCCAGCGCGCGCGCGCTTCCCGCTCGCTCGCTCGTTCTCACGCCGTCGCGCCGGCGAGTGACATTTCGCTGGAAAAGCAAGTAGAAAGCAACGGGGCGTCGCTTCTGAGCGTTCGCCGTTCGCGTGTATTTTGCAAGCGGTGAAAAGCACGCGCGCGCGACTCGACGCACTGCGACGACGATCGGCGAGATTTCGCGGCGAACGGCCATCGCGTCGGCGCGCTTAATAATCGAACGCAGCCGGTGTGCGACGATGTGTGGCCGGTGCACACGAGAGCGCGTTGCACAAGTGAAAGAGAACTCCGAGAGAGCCACTACGGACGTTTACTCGAAATGTCAAGGATGCAACCACGCGCGAGAGAGACAGAGTGAGAGAGAGAGAGAGAGAGAGAGCGGGTGCGGACGCGCGCTTACTCGTGCGAGGGAAGAGACACGGTGGAGAGAGAAAAAGAGAGAGAGAAAGAGATATGAGAGAGGCGGATGAAGAAGACGACGGAGAGACAATGACGGCCGCGAGCTACGCTGGAATTGTTATTTTGTCACGCATGGCTCTTCGTAGCTGCGGCAGTGGCCCACGTTTACGTACGTGTGCGCATCTATCGCGCGAGATGAAAAGTGGCCGTGTCTAAATGTTTCTGGAACCCCACGGCATGGTAAAGCGCCTTTCCGCGGATAGGATGCTTTCACTCGCCCGGAGTCGCGCGAGATGCGCTTTCAAGGTTGCAGCCGGGAGCCGCCGCCGCGATGGTGTATCGCGATCCTGCTTTGTAACGCGCGATAGGTGTCTCTCTCTCTCTCTTTCTCTCTCTCTTTCTCTCTCTCTTTCTTCTTCTATCTATCTATCTATCTCTATCTATCTACGCTGAAAAATGAGTCTTGTTGAATTTACCTGATAATGAACAACCAAACGCATTTTGTTCGAATGAAACTTTCTACTTCTCACGAACCAAATTTGATTCTCATAACTAGAAATTCGATTTCTTTCGATCAAAACTCGTTTGTCAAATAGATTCACTTAAACTCACTTTTCAATGTATCTCTATCTCACTCTGCTCTCTTATCTGCGGAGAATGATTATTATCGTTATCAAGAAAAGAAGCCACTCCACTACCGATGCACTGCGGCCTTATCTGGTATTAATTGTAGGGCTGAGAGATATTGAATTGTAAGTGTCTATTGTATCGTGTAAACACACTCGAGATCTTCCTTACGTTCGTACGGCAAAAAGCAACGCAGTCGTTCTCTCTCACTCTCGATAGGACTGCTGCGTCAAACGATAACGCGATGAAGAAGGCATATCTCTCGGCAGCAGCGGATGAGCGGAACGAAGAACGCGTGCAGAGCGTGTCCCGGTAGCGGAGATGGCAACGACGACGACGACGCGGCTTTATCGATGAACACTGTTCTTCGAAATTGCCGTCGAGGCAGATAAAAAATAATAGCGCGCGTATACGTCGAGTCGCGAGACAGGCAGTCTGCCGCGAGCGCGTGATAACGCACGTTTTTTCCAAGCGGAGATACCGATGTATGTTTGTCGAGCTCGCTTATTCGCCTGATCCCGGCTGTGTGACGCCTCCTCTCTCTCTTTCCATCTGTCCGTCTGTCTGCCTGTCGCCGCGATTGTCGACTGTTGCGTATCATAGCATGACTAGCGAGAAAACTCGCAACTCCGTGCATAACAGACGTAACGCCTCGCGTCGAAGAAATTGCAAGGCGGGCAACGACGCGACTGCGAGATGCGAGTCTTGGCGTATATCGCATCCGCGACGTGCCGAGGAGAATATTCGTTACTTGGAATCTTTGCTCGCCGAAGTTTACTCGTTTTCTCGGGATGAAGCCCCCATTTTCGTGATTATTCGATTCCCGTGAATGCCGAAACTGCGAAGGGGGAGGAATCAGGATGTAAATTTTGAAGCGATCGTTGCTGCACATCGCGTTTCTTCTCTCGGTGCAGCTAACGAAAATAATCGTTCTCCGCAAGTGAGAAAGCAGCAGAGAGTGAGATAGGGATACGCTGAAAAATGAATTCAATTGAATCCACCCGACAATGGACAATCAATCGAGTTTTGGTTGAAGGAAACGGAATTTCCGGTTGTAAGAGTCGAACATGGTGCGTGGGGACTAGAAAATTTCGTTGTCATGACGACCAGAGTGTAAGCGACGGGCACGAGCGCATAGAGCTGGAAATACCGAGGAGAGTGACGTTTGACTCGCGTTCCTTCGTCGATTTTTCGCCGAGATACGGACGTCGAAGGACTTTTTTCGCGCAGCGCGCGCGCGGTGTCGCGCCGTCGACTTCACACCTCCCGCTTCGGGAGCGATGGCGCGCTCAGCTGAAAGGGAGCGGGGAGCGACATTGTCGAACGACTCGTTAACATCTCCATGTAGAAAAATCGTAGCGGCACGCGGCAAAGCGCGCTTCGAAAATTGGAACAGCTCCGTTTCCGACCGGGAAACGCTTCCTTATCTCTCGTCGGCTAATTTCGCGATATTAATTTAACGACCGAGTTTAACGCCTTGAATTTTTCAATCTGACTTAAATCTAAAATTTCCAATCCTATTTTTCCGTCGAAACCTAATGGGATTTTCCTGAAGGCTAGAAATAAGCCCGATTAAAAGTGTTATTTCGATATTGACACGAACGAATCGGAAAGATGTGAGACGAATTGCATTGCGGGAAACAATGTTTCGCTTGTCACAGCGTAAGAATGAATCATAATTCAATATTTATAATCTGCGTTTTAGTTCGCACATTTTCGTTTATAAGTTTCAATAGTATGAATCTTTAAGGACTTATATAAATCTTTAATTGCTCACGTTAAATCTATTTTTGATCTCTGAGTCTAATCTTTAAATTATTCAACTTAATTTTTCCATGAAAATTGATCGTTTTCTTTCGGGCAGCGAGAATTAAAACTGCAACGGTCACCGAGAAGAATTCTGTCCGCGACGAGCGGTAGCAGCTGAATACTATCAGATAAGAATATCTCATGTCGCAAAACTTGAATCTTGACGGAGATTTCACGTTTTGCTCCGTAGATCGGGCGCCTCGTCGATCCGGCGACTACGCCCGGCAGCACTTGGTGATCCTGATGCAGCCCAGCACGGAGGATCTGTCGAACCTGCCGCTACCCGACCTGGTGCAGTCGGCAGTGGACCAGCTGCCGCCGCCGTCGCCCCAGGTGACCGTCTCCGTCCCCAACAGCCCGATGAGAGACGCGACCTTCCAATTTCCCGAGAGTGGCGCACCGTTGCCGAGCCCAAGGCCACGACCACGTAGACGGCTCGCCTCGGAGAGCTCGGTCCTGGACAAGGGCCCGATCGAGGTGGTCTGCAGCAACGGCAGCACCTGCTGCTGCCACCTCGGCCACCAGACTCTCAACGAAAGGCAGTGGGCGAGCGTGGGCGCCAATCTCAGGAACATCGCCGGTGACTTCCACGCGTCCAAGACCAAGGTCAGTGCGAGCTCTCATCGTTATTACACGTTGATTCGCAGATTTATCGCACACAAACCGTAATCTCCTTACGCTTTAGTAAACAAATTTCTGCTAAATTTAACACGTTTCACACGTCCCAAACGGTCCCTGCACATTTTCGTGTTAATTTAACACAAGGCGAATATATTGGAAAATAACACAGATATTATGTCAAAAATCAGCACAAAATTAATACTCATAACGTGTTAGTCGACACTGAAGTATGAAATGTGTTATTTCAACATTCACACATGTTGAACATCGAGAGACTCAACGATACAAAATTTGTATTGAGATAACATAAATATATGAAATTAACACACGGTTAAAAATTTAATACAAAAATCTTTTAACAAAGCTCGATTTTGACGCGAAATGTTTTTTATGTACAATCAATAATCCGACACGGCATTAACGCCCACGAAATATTCAACGCGCGTCAAATAATATCGGGGCATTGTTCTTTTTAACGTCGTGTTACGCTCTTTGTAATTTTCCTAAGTACCCTTCTTCCTTCACTTTTTTCGCGGGGTCACGTCGTTAATTTCGCGATAGACACGCCGGCGTTATCATCGCTCTTCTACCCGCGCCATCGAGCCGCCGCCATCGACGCGCCGCACTGATGGCATAATACAAGAGCGTTTATGGTGAGAGGAGTACAGGTGTAAACCGCCTGGCATAAAAATTGCAGAGCGCGCGTTTCTCGCACGCACGGGAGCCATCGTGTAACTTTTCACTCCACGCGTCGCAATTTCATCTTCCCCATGAAGGCTTTTATTCGTCATAAAGCCACCCTCGTCGCGGGGTATTATAAAACGTAACGAATACGCGGGCGCAGCACGCGAGAGAAGTCCTGCGACGGGTGTTTAGCTTGAAAAATTCCACTCCCTCGCGGATAATAGCGCGTTCCTATTGCTTCATTTTGCGAATTACGCGCCACGGGCGACGAAATGGCGCGACACTGTAATCCCCCGAATAATTCGAAATAGCCCCAAGCCATTCGGAATCACTCGAAACGATCGGAAACTAGCCAAAAGCCGGCGCTTCCTCGTCAAGTCTGTCCATCTTACCGCTCCGAGACGCGTTCACGGAGCTTTCGTATCCGCCCGACACTGTCTATCTGTATCTACTCACCCGTCACAACGCTCGAGAATCGATCTCTCGGGCGCGCCCAGCTCTCTCGGATCCTCCTCACGATATCCCGGATTTAATAGCCCCCGCGAGTGATTTAACGCGCCCGGTTCTGGCTCTAGGTGTGTTTCCTCCTTAAGAAAGATAGAAACTACCGCGCTGGGGCGGGAGGAGGGGGGCCATAAACGCGAATTTAGTTATATCAGAGTACCGGCGCGAGGTCCCGCGGGCGCAATAAATATCGGCTCGCCACCGCCGAGACGTCTAGTATTGGCCCCCGTGTGTACGTCCCCGTGTGCCACTGGCACTTCATCAAAAGCCCCCCACCCCCGGCCAGTCTCTTGTGAGCGGAACGGCGGTCGTTCGATCAAATATGTATCGCCGACTGGCGGTGCGGTCCTTCGCCAGGATTTTACGACGGTTCCGCCTCGTGTTTGCGGTCGGAAGAAAGGAAGTGGCGATTGCCCGAGAGAGCGCGGTTCGAAACGAGAGAGTGTGGGCTGAGATAAATCGGTGAGATATTTCGAATGTGGAGGCACGCGAGCCGCGCGATGTCGTCATCCTCGAGATTAACGGCGGACGAAGCGCGCGCGTCCGCGCGATATTAGCGAATCAACCGCTCGATTCTCCCGCTCCTTTGGCGAGCCTAGAGGGGGAAAAAGATAGGTAGATAGATGCACTGAGAGAAAAAAATGTCTATGAGGAAGTATTGCGGTAAATATTGTTGCCATAAAATTTTGTGATGCCGCACCATAGTGAGATTGTGACTGAAAATATGACGTGTGTTGTAATCCTTAATATGTATGTCATTGTGCACACATTACTAAAGATTACAACACGCGTAATAATATCGATAATAATTCCGGTATAATCCAGCATTACAAACTGTTGTAGTAATTTTTACGACATTTTCTCCGTGTACAAAATAAAAAAATGTTTATTCGATTGGTTATTAATAACGTATTTATTTAAATCTCCAAATTCTTCTATTCAAGTAGAATAAGCAATTGCTTCCATCTACGGATTTGGAAAAGAATGTGTATTTTTCATCTGGAAACAATTTTTTCTCGTGTGAAGATACATATGTATTAGTATAAGTAAATGCGGTTGTAGTACTCACTGAATATTTTCTATTTTTTAAATATCTTTCCTCTCGATGCAGATAAATTGATCGTACGTTTTCTGCAAAAAATCTCCCCAAACGTAGGAACAGAAAATGAAATATTAATAGAAATTTTAACGCGAAATCCGAAAAACATTTATAATAAAGTTACACTTTTATATAGGTACTGATTCAGGCACTTTTTTGGTCATTAGAAATTCAAATAATGCAACGCAGAAAGAAAAAAAAAGAGAAAGAGTAGAAATGATTGTTCCCACGACTATATTTTCGCAGTCAAAGGGATCTTATATTTTTTGCAAACTACTCACATCTCTTGCCGAAAGACTAAACCGAAAGGCTAAGAAATTCGTCGCGGACGGCGATCTTCGTCAAGAGTTCGATCTGGAGAATGGTTTCCCGTTGTCTATCGTTATCGCGGCAAGTTTCCAATCATTTCCCCCCGACGGAGTTAGCAGATGTCTACTCTTTCGCGACCGAAGGGATCGTTGTAAAGGCCGATCGAATATTTATCGACGAGCGAGACAATTGTTCCTGGTTTCACGGCAACTCTCGTTTGCCGTCGTGGTTCGAAGGAAAGTGAACGGGCGGGAGTACGAGGGACATTAATAGGAAAAGGAAGAAGAAAAAGAGGCGGAAGAAGAGACGGGGAAGAGAAGGAAGGAGTAAGGACGAACAAGGTGGAAAGGGCGTTTCTCTTTTATTCCTCCTGGCTTTTATCCGCTTTAAAGCTCCGCCGGCGTGATACCCAATCCCGGAACGTCTAATTATTGCTGGTTAAGTGCCGGTAATTGAAGGGGGCGAACAGACCCGTGAAATTGAAGAAATCTCTCCGGCCGTAGGAGATCGGTTACCGATCGGAGAAGTGCCTCGGCTTCGGTAACTCGAGGAGCGAACGCGCCTCGTCGTTAAATACGAATCGCCGAGGATCTCCTTCGAACGGGGTCGCCTTCGCGCTTTCCTCCTCTTGTTTGCGCGCGCCCGGAGAAATTGAAATGTCAGATTAATACCACGGTGGCAACATCGCTGCTCGGGGCGCGTGTTCGGATACGTGCGCGGATCGTCTCGCGCGAAAATTGACGCCGAGGCGTTTTGACGTCGCGCCGTAAAAATGCGCGTCCCTCAATTTCCGCTTCTCGATTTCGGCCCTCTCCGTCTACCTCGCCCGTCGGGACAATTTCGCGGATTATGAACGGCGTTCCGTCTCCGGCCGGTCAGATTTGACGTGATACCTTCGGCTCGACGTTTCCTCGCACAACAGGTGCGCCATACGTCATCCCCGACGTGCTATTCGCGCCACGGGGCTCGCCGTGAATACATTATCGAGCGGGGTCGAGCTTCGCCGGCGAGATGCGGCTTCCCCGAACCTGCGAAATATGAGATATCGGTTTCCGAAGCGTCATTTTTTCAGTAATTTTACCGAACTTACCAGGACTTGTCTGGAACCCAAAGGCCATCGTAATCGCGTGAAATCTCGCGGTGCTGAAAAGTGAGGTGCCAACTTCACACCGGCGCTTTTTTTCGCGACCGAAGCTTCCGGGATACATCGACGATCGTAAGTCACGGAGACGATTTCCTCGTATCTCACTCTCTCCCTCTCCTCCCTTCTCTCTCTCTCTTTCTCTCGCCTTTCCCCACTCGTCACGGGAAACCACCGACCGCACGGTGCTTTACATATGCATGGAGAGTAAGCGAGCATGTAGCGGCTAAGTGGCCACATCCCCTTACGTGAAAGTTAAGTGGGCATGGCAGCACGAGCCGTGGCCACAGGCCGAGAAAATTATCTTCAATTATCTCGTGCAATCGGAGCCCCCTTCCTCCCCTCCTCCACCACCTCCTGCTCTGCCGTCGCTCGCTCCTTCTATCGCGGGCGAGAGATTCGTCCGTCTTGCTCTTTCGATTAGAGCCGCGAACGGGGCCGAGCGATCGTCACTCCTAACAGGCTCGGTAATCGAATATCCATGCGCGTTCTCGCCGCGTTTTCGTTGACCTCCGAACGGGAGGGTCGCACCTACCGCTAACCGATGTCTTTATGTAATGCAGAATTACGGGTGAGCGGGCGCTGACTGCGTAAANCGGCCGCCCCCCCCCCCCGGTCGTCTATCCATCGTTCGGGAAAACCTCGCGGGAGAGGTCGGGCGATTTTCCCGCCGCGGGAAAATTGATCGGTGCGCACGCCCTGTTCTCTTTGTCTTTCTTCAACTTCGAGATTGAAGTCGAATTAAAGTGACGTCATGTTTGAACATTTTACCGACCGAATATTGATTTTTTCCCCGCAAAGCTTACATTTTACCGATAGCACAGAATTGTAAGTTTTTACACAGTGAAAGTACGCGCGAAAATCAATCGGAGCATTGCTCAATATGTGCTCGGTATATCAATGAAAATGATTAAAGTCTCTAAGTGACATCTCTAGCTGTCAGTTGGCTGGATTAACTAGATTAGTTAGATTAGTTAGATATTGATCTGATACAGAAAGCTTGCAACTTGTATATATCTCGAACGTGTCGATATTCCAAGCAGGAAAAATTTCCGAGAATATTCTCACATATTTTCACGCTGGAAGGGGAATTCTCGGATACCCGATGATCCGGATTCGCTCCCGCGAGGCGTCGAAGTGGCGCATATCCGCATGGCGCGCGCGCGAGAAGCGGCGGAACGCGCACGCTCGCCTGACATTTATCTAGTTGTTTAAACGATCTGACCGACGCGCAAATTGATACATTAG